CAGACCCACGCACACACACACACACTCTTGCATGAGTTTGCATACATGGAACCCTTCATACATTCATCCATACCTGGATGCATGCGCACTTACATAGAATCAAACAAATTCGAACAGCAAAAACAGTCGTTCATACATGCATGCACGCATGAAGGCATAAATGCATTATGCATGCATACATAGTGTCATACGTACATTCATTCACACATGTGCGCATGATCATGCATGAGTGCCAAAAGCATGCACTGCTTCATACATAAACGAATAAGTATTAGATGAATCTTATATCTGTATATCTATATATATATATATATTTATTTATTTATATACATTTATAAATACACACACACATATATATATACACATATATATATATACACACTCATATATATATATATGCATGCAGGATGCATGCATGCGTACATACATACATCCATCATTGCATGCATACACATACACATACCATACACCTACACCTACACCTACACCTACACCTACACCTACACCTACACCTACACCTACACCTACACCTACACCTACACCTACACCTACCCCTACGCCTACACCTACACCTACACCTACACCTACACCTACACCTACACCTACACCTACACCTACACCTACACCTACACCTACCTACCTACGTACATACGTACGTACATACATACTCACTTACTTACATGGAGGCTTGAATGTGACCACGAGACTTAACAGTATTCATTAATCCATGAATTGGTTGGGAAAGGCACGGTGCAGGCGGAATTTGCCAGGCTCATTTGCTCCGCAGCTGTGAACCATGCCTCCGCAGTGGGCTGATACCTCGGCATCTAGGTCAAGGGCATCGTTGAACATCATAAGACTGTTGGTAATGATGCAAATGAACTAATGCATATGATCGTATGTATATATACATATATGTATATACTTTCTATACATGTACATAGGCAAGCGTGTCGCTCTTAGGCAAGGCTCGTCTGCTGGCGTTCCTTTTCTATTGCCGTTGGATTCTACCCACTTACGAGTAGTCCCCGAAAAACTAGCCCACACGTACCGCAATCCTAAACCCAAGTGCTAAATTACTCCGTCCTTCGAACCCCATGGCCAAGCATGCATGAAGCCCCCCCATCGTACAATATCGGGAATCAAAACCAGGTCCCAAAAACCAGCAAGCCTCGGGAAAGCTCTGTTTAATCCCCAGAAGACATCAGACAGGTCATAATCATCGATGTCGTCTTCGTCATCCGTTCACTGTCCCTTGTAAGCCACCAGCATCACCATGACCATCAACTGTGCCAATACTATCGTCAGCATCTTCGCCATTAACAGCGGCAACAGCACCATCAAATCAGTTGTTATCCTCGAAGTCGGCACATGGTTGTCATCACCAATGCCCCCCACTCCCGGTCCCCTCAACCGCACAACCGTGTCCATTGCAGCACTGGCGACTGCAAAAGTTTCAGTTGGTGCGATATACCTGTACTTGAAGGACCAGGAGACTTTAAAATCGGAAAAACACTCGCAACGCCCATTAGAAGAACTGGATTGAACTACTCTCCATATGCTCTGACAGTTCAACTACACCATAAACATCCCATGCCAACACCTTCAGGATACCTGCAATGCAAGGTCGGAATTCAAACCTCATGGACTGCAGCAATGGTTCGCGGCTCGCCTCTCTCCCACAGCTTGCCCGGTCGGGTACATCGTGGCTCGCACGGTGGCCGGCATCAGCGAGTTCACTGCATCCACCTCTGCAAGCCCCTTCACATGAAACCCTAAACCCTGAACCCTTCATCAAGGCGCCACATGATGCTCAATTGGCTGCAGCTGCAGGTTAAAGGCCCCGAGAGTTTCAGAGTTCAGACTAATCACGCGGGGAATGTCAGGTCCCAAATTTTTCTACACGGATTCTACACGCTCAAGGCGGTGCAAGACGCAAGGCCCACACCCAAGAGACCCCAAGATGCCCCAGCACCCAAAAGGCCAAATTTTGGAACCAATCTCGTTCCCTTCAAGCTGGACCGTAACGGTTTAGGGTTTAGGGTTTAGGAAACCTGCACCCACAAACACCGACAAAGCGATCAACTGTAATTATAAGCCTTAGACCCTGGGTCCCGGCCTGAGTGCGGACATTGAGCCAGAAGAAGACGGCCATGCCGGCCACTATCATCGACAACCAATCGACCTTGATGCTCAACCCTGTGGAGATATGCTAAATTTGGGGTATATGCCATAGGACGGTAGGTTTTCGGGAATCCTACAAGAGCAAAGACGACCTTTTCGTTTGGGGCCTCTGTGCTCTGTCGGTGCTTTTGGGGTCCGAGAGCTTTGGGTTTTCAGGAGGCTTCGGGGCTGTTTAGGGGCCAGGCATCACATACCCTCCCAGGAGACTTACGTTCCAGATGGACTATTAACCAATACGAGCAAGAAGAATACTAAGAGCAGCCCTTAATAACTAGCCATCTTAAAAGGAATTAAAAGGGACTTTAAGGCTCTATGCTCTACGCTTCGGCTTTCTACAGGAGAGGTATCCTACAAGGATTTTTTGTATTTCTGCGCTATGAACCTTCGTTTGCATGCCCCGACGTGCTCCAAGAATTTGCACAAAGCTTTCAGCAGATTTCTGGGACAGGATCTGAGCAGGGCGACAGGAAAGTCATTGAGAGCTTGGGGCAGGTAAGTCCATGTCCCCGCCCAAACCCTAAATTCTAAAACCCTAAACCCTAAAAACCCTGAACCCTGAAACCCTAAACCCTAAAACTTCGACCCGGAACAATGGATCAAGACCAGGTTCAACCAAACTCTACCTGTTGTCTCCTTGGTAGTTGCGTTTTGGGGCTACCTTACAGGATGCAAAAAATGGTTTAGGGTTTAAGGTTTTATGGTTTTTTGGGTTCTAGGGTTTAGGGTTTTAGGGTTTGGGGTAAACCGAACATGGAACTAATATGGAGACTTTTCGCAGGCCGGAAGCAAAAGAAAGACAGAGAGCTCTGCAGCCCGGGAGGCTAGGTTCCAAAAGTGCAGGTAGTCGCGCAGCAGACCCCGCCAGATCCTTGTCGAAGTCTTCCGTAGGGCTGAACTAAGGGTTTATATGGGCCTTATAGGATTATAGGGCTTGAAGTTACATCTGGTTCAAGCAAGGGTTCTCAGGAAGGGGCCTACGGGTTTAAAGGGCATACGGGTTGCGAGATTTAAGCTCCTTTGAAGGTCTCTAAGGGCTTTAGGCTTTAGATTTTCTGCGGTTACTTTATGGGTGGTTGCAAGGGTTCCCCAAGAGGGTCTGAAAGGTGCAGCAATGTCTGAAGGGTTCAGTTTACTTTGAGGGTCCCTAACATCGTCGAGGGTTGTGGCTTCACTGGGCTTCAGCGTAGCAAGACTGATAGAAATAGTCGGGCTGAGCCGATAAAAAAAGCATAAAAACCACCGGAACACTGTGTAAGGGGAGGCGAAGGAAACCCTTAAACTCCAAGCCCCAAGCCCTCAACCCGTAACCCCCTACCCTACAATTCCTACGCCACTAGGACAGTACTCCCTACATGGACCCTCGTCTGTAAACTCCCGGGCCCTGTATTGTACATATGTAGGTTATGAAATGCTATATAAACATATGCACATACAGAGTAATACGCACAGGTACATGCAGAGACAGCGAGGACAGACAGGTAGCTTAAAATCCTCCAGACCCGTCACAGCACCCACATAGAAACCTACAAAGCCGATACGGAGCCCGTGAGAGAAACCCGATACGCCACATGCTATAAGCCTACCTAAAACCCTATATACGCCCACACGCTGATCACAGCTCTGGCCGAGACTCCCATGCTTCGAAGAGCGCACCGTGCGAATCGCATCGCGGATTTCATCGATCAGCAGCTTTACCTGCGAGTTGGAGTGTTGGGGGCTCTGAGGAGATACAGGGACTGCAGTACAGGGTTTGCTGTTGAATTAGGGGTTTTGGTTTCGGGAGATAGGGTTAAGGTGTAGGGCTTAAGGCTTCGGCTGTAGGGTTTAACTTTTCATTGAAGGCTTGGGACCTGACGACTTCTGTGGTTTAGGGTTTAGGGTTGTAGGGTTTTACGCTCTTCGGGTTTAGGGGCGAAGGTGCAGAGCGTAGGGTTTCCAGGTGTACGGCTTGGGGTACAGGGTGTAAAGCCGGCGGTTTCAGATACCCTATACCGCACTTGGGGCCCTAGCAAAAGTTATAGCTTCAGCTGTTTCTTAGCGGGACAAAAATGACCAAAGATTGAGAATTATTTCAAAGTAACCCTAAGTACCTATTCAAGACGCACCCCCCAGCCTCACCGGGCCTTTGAGGGAATCCCGCATGGCCAAGGCATATGGGTAGTTCTCTAAATTAGGGTCCCTTTTTAATTAGGTCCCCAGTAGAGTACGGCACCCTTATAAAAAAGGGACCCTAAACGGGATTCTAAGTTAGAGAACTACCCATATACTTGTACTACATAGACCCTCCGGGTCAGTTTAAGAACTGATGGTACTGCGTGCAAGCAACTTGTAGCTTTGATCGGTTGGGGGGTTCGGGATCCACTATAGAACAGTTATAGTTATGCATGCCTCCGACACACTTGTAGACAGCAAGAGAGAGTTGTGATAAGATGTCTGGCTGACAGGGGAAGCTTATACCCAACATTCAATATCAGCAATATAATGCAGTAGCCTCTCCTGAAAGCCTGGCAATGAGTCCACGAGGGCAAAGGCACTTGAAGAACTGCCCAAATCGCAATGGCGATAGCAGTGGGAATGGAATTGCCCATCGACGTCCGCAGGGGGTCCTGGACGTAGGAACACACTGTCCGGGTATCGTAGCGGACGACAAACCTTCGGATCAAATATCCTAAATCCTGAATTGCCCAAACCATAACTCCTGAAACCATAACCCCTAACCTCCCCAAGTCTTCCGGTAAGCAGGGACGTCCCCGAGTTTGACGCCCTAAACGCATCCAGCTGCTCTCTTGTCTTACAGAGTACAATAAGCATTGCAGGTCCTGGAAGCAGGAGATCATGTCCGTAAACCGATAGACATGTCCCCCTCGATTGAATAAGAAGTTGATGGACACGTAGGTGTAGAGCCCATACCTCAGACAATGCTCCTCAGCCCCTTTTTTTGCATCCGGGCTGTGAGGTTCTGGCTTTAGAGCCACTCTTTGCAGGTCTCATCGCCGGGGAGCTGTGCGTTGAACACAACATAGCTCACCTCCACTCGTGCGGTCTGCTCGTCTAGCCAGGGTTGACGGGGTTGCTGCTTGCACCTTGGCACAGACATGAACGAGACTGAAGGATGGGCCGTACCTGCAGTCTACAATGGTAGTTCTTTTTTGGTAGAAGATCCTATAAACGTATAATCACATAATTGGTAAAGCCAAAATCACACGGGCCCTTCGCGCTGTAATTGTAATCCCAGAAGGAGAGGCTGCCTGAACCGATCTGTCTGTGAACTTCCAGAAGGACAACCCTGGACGGAACACCAGCTTCCAGAAGCCATAATAATCAGGAAACCTAATAAGGAAAAACTTGTAACTATTTTAGGCTTCTAGAGTATACCGTCGTCGCATCGAAAGGCTTCCGGCTACTGAGACAACCTCGGTTGACCGGAGTCCAGGCCAGGGCTCTAGGTTCATAAACCTTGCAACTGTAAGTAAGAATCTGTGACGGATTTCGCTTGGAACTGCTGGAGAAACACCACCTCCCCAGAGCAAAACCCCGAAGCCAAGCAACACACACAACGTAAACCCTGCAAAGATCACCTAGCCAGACACGGCGCAAGAATGAATTCCCAGAAGATCTTGCCACTCCCCCAAGCAAGATGAGATGAACCCTGAACCCAATCCTATAGCCTGAATCCTCAACCCCACATCCGAAATCATGCCGGGGCGCCAGTCGCAAAGGCAGGTGTTTAGGTCGCCGATGGAATGCGCATAGTTGCAGCCGTCTTCCATATCCAGCAAAGTCCTGCGAGACTTCCAAGTGGAGGTAGGGGCTTCTGCGCTAAGGCTTATAGGGCTTAGGGACTTCGGGATATTATGTCTTCATGAGGGGATTTGATGCCAAGACCTTCATCTGCATCCTGCATGTGGGTTTCCTACATGCTGAGGCATAGTATGGGAGTTGAGGTATGGGAGTTTGGGGTTTAGGGCTGACTCGGTGGCTTAGTAGGTGATAGCTCGGGTGAAGAACACCATCGGGGATATGTTCAGGATGTGCCCAGTCTCACTTAAGGTTCAGGTACCCAAAGGGTGGGGTTCGGGGCTGAACCGACAAGCTTTAACTGGGGACGCCCGGGTGAGAGGGGTACTTACGAAGCCACGTCCGTGTCTCTGTATAGATCTCTTCCCCATAGCACTCGTATCATAAAGCCAACACAAAATAAAGCACCGCCTCACGTGCACGTATACAAAACAGTTTGAATTCCAAAACAGCGGAGGACGACGGTTTGGATTTGAAGTCTAAGGAGTGCTGCATGGAGCGTTGGTTTACGACGATAGTCCAGGTATTTAGAATCTAGAATAATTGCCACTACTCCAGGGTTGAACCTGTTTAGGTACCGACTGGCTATCCGATCTCTGCAAGGTCGGAGAATGAATGGGGGCTGATTGCGTACCTCCTGCAGTCTTGTCTACGAGGATTCGACTATATCGGCTTCGATTCGCGCTAGGGTCACGGACGCTTGTTTTCTGAAGCTCCCGTTCATGCATTCATGCAATCAAGCATTTATCAGTCAGGGATTAAGAGCGGTGCTCATGCAGCCTCTGCATCTCCGGCAGCGTGTCCACACCCGGTAAGAGGTACCTTAGTGCTCGGCAGCTCTGAGGGGATGGAGCGCAAACCAAGACAAAGTTTATAACAAATGAAGGTCATATAACCAATGAAGGTCAAACATTATTTCATCTTCATTCGTAACGATCCTACATCCCGGAAGCTAGGTAAATACTTGCCCATCTTGCGCTGCGAGCTCGGGGCTATGTCAAGCCTGAAAGTAAGAATCGCTGCGAGCAAGAAGGAGAATCAATATATTTGTGCCTTGTTGCAGCTTCGTAATTACGAAGGACAGCGTTAGTATGATCACTTACTGCTTCATTATTGCCAAGACAAAGAGCCCATAGCTCATGACTTAGGAACTGTTCTGCCTAAAGCTTCGAACAGGATGGTCCGAAGCCCTAGCGTCAGGATGAGCTCGGCGTCGTAGACAGGCCTACACAAACACCTTACGGGTTTGGGCTATATTCAAACGAGAGGTTATTTGGAAAACACCTCGAACGCTATTCGTCTTCTTCTGATGGATGGAGCCCGGAGGGGCGCGTCCTGACTGGAACGCTATTGCTGATTATGCGGCAACCTGGACAACCCTATGAATCCCTACACAACCCACAAAGCACCTAAGTCCTTGTAAGTCCCCACCCAAAACACTTCACATGAGAATATAGGGGTCGGATTAACTGATATAGAGAATCCCCAGGTAGGAACCATGTAATCGTGACTCCAAAACCCGAGCCCAATGATTAAGGCCCCTAGCACTCCTTGAGCAGTCCTTATATGTCCTTGTTATAGAAATCTTATCTTCTTTAAGGCCCTCATACTGATTGCCGCGGTCGCCAGAATCAGAAAAAGCCCAGTTGCTGAGTGCGGGAGAAGCCGTTGAATTGCTGCGCCGATGGTCTCTCTGGGCTGAGGGCACCAATGGAACTGGGCGTGCCTGGGCTTAGGGGCTATCGGGTTCAGAGTTTAGTTTAGGGTTCCAGGGGTGGGGTTGAGTGGTTTGAGTTTGGGGGTTTGGGATTAATATCCTGTGCCGGAGCCCCGACGTTCAAGTGATCGGGACTTGAACTAGGCAGGTACTTGGAAGTGTATGGCTGCATGAAAAGACATTGTGCACAACTTGTTGAATCTAGGTTCTTTGGATCCAGAGCCACCCAGCCCCCGAGAAGTAACCGAAACCGACAACTTGCCCGCACTGCAGCAGTGTCCACTTCCAAGACAGTGGGCACTTTGCAAGGGCATGCCCTCAACCAGCAAGGGCACAGTCGGGTACAGGAGTATCGGCCAGGATAGCAGCCAAAGGATACGTCAGCAAGCAGGTTTCTGGAAACGCTCCGTCTCCGCTGCAAGGCTGAGCTGGAGGTAGGCTTAGACTGCGGGCTTGCCTTTACATCGCAAGCCTGCGTTCTCGGTTTGCCGTGGTCAAAGTCTTCTTTAACAGTTTCATAACAAGGGACCGAAACCCTAAACCCTAAACCCTAAATCCTAAACCTAAACCCTAAAGCGAAAAAGAAGGATCAGCATTGCATTGCTAGTTACTTAAGCTGGCCGTTTTTAGCTTGCTGCCCGGATGCACGGCTTTCCCAACCACGCCGCGAAGCTGACAGGATCCTGCGCTGCTGTTGAAGGATCTAAAAAGAAAGTATGTGCGTATGTGCTTTGACAATTTTTTTGTATACACATATGCTTTATGTATATTACCTAAACATACATACATACATACATACCTACCTACCTACGTACGTACGTACGTACGTACGTACATACATACATACATACATACATACACACACGCACCTATCGTAAGCCTATTTCTTTATGTGTGTGTGTATATATATATATAGATAAGAAAATCGAAATCGTCCCGAAATAGCACTGTCTGGCCGTATATTGCGCGATTGTAGGAGTGAATCAAAACCCTCCTCAACAAAAACCAACTACAGCCCAAACTCTAAAGCTTAAGCCAGAAAGCCCAAGCTTAACCGAACCTGAAGAAAAGTCCTGAATCACCATAAACTCTAACGAATCCTAAACCCTAAACTCTAAAGAACCCTAAACCCTAAACTCTAAAGAACCCCGAAACCCTGAAGACTAAACAATGAAGAAACCTAAACTTAAACCTTAAATCCGAACGTCAGAAGCCCCGAGTCTAGACCTCAAAGATGCAGCCTGCAGCAAACCTGTTCTCACTCAGACATTTCTGGTGCTTTACGTATTTCCTTGGTAGGTTTTGCGTTTAAGCTATTTTTTGGAGTGGGGTCTTGGGTTTAGGGTTTAAAGGCCCATGTCAGGCCAAGTGCAGAAAATGTTGCCAAAGTTACGCTTGGGGTTTCAGGCTGTGTAGGGTTACGCCAGCAAGTTTAAAAAAAAATACCTAAGGCCTAAGACCCTCAATCCCCGCGTCCGCGGCCAAAAGCATAAAAAATAAAGATTCAGCACAGCCGAACCACCCAAAGGACGAACCACCCAGACTTCCAAGATTTCAAATCCCTGCTACGGACAAAAACAAGCACCCCCAAAACTGTGGCCTTGCCGTCTGAGGGGATATAGCCAAGGGCCCATAGGCCTTGGGCCATTCTTATGGGAGCTCTCACGGGTTGCCCTGATCCCAAGCCTTATAATCCCTAAACTTTACGACGAACCCTAAGCTTCCCCTCAAGAAAGCGGCTCAGAGGTCCACCAAGGATGGTAGTGTGCAGTCGTCCACATCGGCTGCAATCTGCCGAAGTCGAATGCCCCCAACAAGCCTTCAACTTGGACTGTCGGTTCAGGGCCCTTGGTTAAAGGAATGCTTCTATAAGGTATTATAGACCTTCTATCCTCGGGGGCCGTTATCTTGGCTCCGGGAACTGTAGTAAAGGTATAGGGTTAGGTAGGGTTACCGTGGATACTCCCAACTTAAGACTTAAGTAGTGAATGATGGGCCATTTGATTTAAACCTGCTGGCTGAGTCCCATGACCCTCCCAGTCCGGATGTAGTTTGCGAGATGCAGGTCCAGCATCATTTGGCCGTATGCGCAGCACATCTTTCTTCCCCAATATTCCCTGGATCATACGGGCACTACCAGTCAAGACCGAAACTTTTAATCTCCCAGAACCCTGAAAAAAAGCGCAAACTCCTGCCCAACTCGTCAGACCCCGACACACTAAATATCCCCCACCCAATTCGGATCCGCTTGCGCTGAGCCACTGCGTCCCAGCTGTGTGTGTGCTATCCCTAACCCAAAGATATCCCAATACCTTACGCCAGACAAGCTCCGTAGCTTCGAGAAATGAAGGTAGTCGTTGGGCATCGGTGCAGCCTTGCCTCATCTTCCGCAAACTAAGGGGCTTGTTTGCGGCTGATGGGGTCTAGGGTGCTGTTCAGGGTTTAGGGTTTAGGTAGTTGTAGGTTTTACTGTGGGTGCTCTTTTAGGGTCACAGATTCACGGCCTAAGCGGCTCAACGGTGCTAAAGGTCCAAGCGCCTGGCAAACATGCTCTTTTACATGTACGGGCAGGTGAGTATGGCGGCCGCAAGTGTGAGGATACGTTTATTTCGGGGGCACATACCTTACTTACTTCTAGCTCTATTCAGGAACCCGACGGGATCTCATTGGTAAGTTTCTTCTTTATTCGGTTTTGGCTCTTGGGAGCTTCGTGAACTTTTTGTTCGGCACCTGGGGTCTGAGGGCTTTCAGAGAAATAGGGATTCTATTTTTTTTTTTTTTGGGGGGG